AACTGCAGAGCATATACTTTGTGCCTGCCCCGATGGGGACCGAATCAGATTCTTTGAGTTTGGCAGATCCGTACTCTCACCATCTGACCTGAAAGACCACTCACCATACAAACTAATCGGCTTCCTTAAGAAGCTGGGTTTATTTGGCCGAGTGTGAATAGGTGTGAGTCACAATAAACCCTTATGGGTTGCGGTGAAGGGTCGAATAGACCCACTCACTTCAGACCTACCTAGATGTTTGTTATATTTTTCTGGACTTATGTGTGGTTGTCAGCTAAGGTCTCCGTTGTAAATATCCAGAAGTGAAGCTGAAATTATTCTGATACGATTTCTGTTCTGTTGGAGCAGTTCTTTGTTTTTTTTTATTCGCAGGTCTCTTAATGAAGGTTTTCCGCGTGTGTCTCCAAGTATGTTTTCCCTCCTGACCCATTTTCTGATTTGGTTTCACTCCAATAATTTTGGTACCTACATAGCTGACTCAGATTCCATATTACGTGAGATTGATGATCCGTATCTGACACACTCATCAGCATTTTCATTTTCTGTGATTTCTGAATGTCCTAACACCCAGTGCAGTTTATGCCAATTTCTTCATTTTTTCACTGCATTCTCAGAACAATGTTGATATCACTCTTGGATTCATCAATACCCAGTTTTGATGGTATTTGATGATTCAGGTCTGTATGGAAACTGTAATATATTGAATCATAATCTTGACAAATACATTTTCAATATCAACTGACAATCCTGTGGAATCCTGTAAACTCCCGCTTGTAAACGCCAGCCGTGAAAGCCTATATTCGCATGTTTTGTTTTTGTTATATCTATAAGCGCTATGTTTGCGATAATAACAGTCTTTTTGTAAGCTATCCATTTCTTACAGAAAAAGAATATGCATACTGCCTTATCTTGACAGTTCGTACTGAATCTATTGAAAGGGGCAGATTTAAAACAGAGCGTAGTTTTGTTTCTTCTTTCTTATATCTGGTGAGAACTGCATGTTAAACAAAAGTATTTGATGGATCGCACTTGACTCCCCATCTTGAAGAGAGATATAGAAAGTGGCAGAATGCCAATAAACTTATATCAGTCAATCAACAAATGTTACATACTTCATATTTCCAATTTTCTTTCGACATATGTTGAAGGAATTCAAAAATAAAGACTTTCCAGAAGAGAACTGCAAAGTATAGCTGATTTTCATTCTGAAGATTTAGGCATAGTAAAAATCAACCAGCAATTCACTCCCACTACTTTCATTCATAAATTCACAAAGTTCTCGGTGATAGGCGTGCACTCATATAAAAACGAAATTTAAGGATATTATAGAAGATTTTGTGGTACCTAAGTTACTCATAATCAACTACAAAAACCAAAAAAAATAAAAACAACAGCGAATAAACTAAGCACAATATCAATTTCCGATCGTTTATTATAACTAATCCGATGCCCGTGGGCCCGTCGAATCCTTCGATACTACAGCACTGAACGCGTTGGATGAGAATCTCATCCTGAGGGCGGTTGAAGGTCCCCGGCAACTCGGGCGGATCACGTGGTAAGAGAACCTACTGGTTGTATTATTCTACTGTGATTTAGGTTTCTGAAAAGTCTAAATAAGAATCCCCTGTCAGCTCTTTTTTTTTCGGGATTAGAGAACAAAAACAAATATTAATCATCGAAAATCACTTTATTGTTTTTCAAAATATTCCCCATGAAGACCTATACACTTTTGCATGCGTTTGAACCAATTGTCGAAGCACTTTTGCCACTCTGATTAAGGTATCTCCAAAACATGCATTCTGAATCCAGCAACCGCTTCTTCAGGTGTCGAAAAACGTTGAAAAAAAAGTCATTCGGTACTAAGTCACGACTATACGGCGGATGACTCATCAAATAGATGTTTTGGGTTCTCAAAAATGCTGTTGTTTGAGCCGATGTGTGAGAGCTCGCATTGTCGTGGTAAAGAGTAATCCGTCTTCGGCGGTTGATTTTCCTGATTTCTTGGAAGACAACTGGTAAACAAATGGTTGTGTACCACTCAGAATTGACTGTTCTGCGTTATTGTAGTGGTACAGTTGCGACATGTCCAGTTTTTCCGAAAAAACAGGCGACCATTTGCTTGGAAGTGCTTCGTGCGTAAACAACTTTTGTTGGATTTGGCTCATTTTGAAACACCCATACAGTCGACTGCTGTTTACTTTCGGGCTCATACGCGTAAATCCATCATTCATAACCTGTCACGATGTCATAGACGTGTTTCGAAGTACCGCGATCGTATTTTTTGAGCATTTCCTTCGACCAATCGACACGATCCTTTTTTTGAGCGATTGACAAATTGTGTGGGATCCAACGCGAACAAATTTTTCTGACAGTCAAATATTTATGTAATATTGAATGGATGCTGGTCCCACTGATGCCTCAGATGGTCTCAATCTCACGATAGGTCACATGACGATCTTGCAATATCAGTTCACGCACCGCATCAAAGGTTTTCGGAACAATAACTGATTTTGGACGACCTTCACGAAATTCTTCTTGGATTGAACGATGACCACGATTGAATTCACCATACCATCGATAAACACTGGTCCTTGATGGAGCTTCATCGCCAAAATCCATTTTTGGGCCGCCGAGATGAATCTTTTAAGTTACTGTAAACAACACAAATAGCGCGAGTATGTCAAAACATTCTGAATACGTATAAGCTCAAATATGTCCAACTTTACGATACAACTGTCAGTTGCCAGATTGCAACACTAAGGTTGCCAAATCCCGAAAAATAATAGGTAACCCTCGTAATGTATGTGGGAACTGAAATTGCCTCACTCCAAAAATATTAAAAGAAGACAAGTATTGAGTTTCAAAAAAATCAAAATCTGAAAGTCATGCCTAATTATATATGTCATACAGGTGCTAATAAGCAATAATGTATCAACCCACAAAGAGTAAGATTCGAAAATTTTCGTGTATTCTGATAATGCATTTCGAAATATACATTATTGAAAATGGTTTCAAAATCACTCATATCCAATAAATACTGAAAAAAATTATTCATATCATAACACAAATCAACATTCAACATTCAAAGAAGTGCCATCTGTCGTCCTGATAAAGATGTTATGAGACTTGACACCACATTTTTAAATGTCATTCAGTTCATCAGCGCATCAGCAAAAAACTAAGTCTACCCAAATCGAATATTTTTATTGTAAAACAATTTTTTATTACTAGTTTTGTGTAATAATTTTGTGTAGTTGTCCGCAATACATGCTAGTATCATCAAGATGAGTCACTAATTGTTCTGTTATATTAAGATTTCCATGGGCAATTTTTTTCTAGGTTGAGTTGCTGGGAAAACTTAGAAAACGAACAAATTATGTACATAATAAGTGCCTAGTTGAATTTCAAATGTGAAGCTTTTATAAAAATGTAATTATGTTCTATCAGATTGATGTATCGGTATGACTTCTTCAAAACATTTCAGAATATTTTCGTATATTTGTCAGTAAAGTAGGAACCTTTATAATATTATTATCAAGAAACTTTGTCATTGATATCTATATATTTCTTACATATGATTGGTCATTATCGATATTACAAGATTTATTTTTCAAATGTATTAATAATTCACAATATTCTTGCACATTAATACATTTATATGGAATAAACTATTTGTATTAAAAAAAAATTGGTCCATTTCCTGTAACAGGCAACTTGATGAAACCAGAGCCCAAAATAACAGACAGTAATGATTTTATCCACCATAGGTCTCATATTATTTGGCAATTTTGGGACTTAGTAGTCTTTAGAAGATTAATACTGAGTACAACGACTTCCCCTACAAAAACGCCATCTATGAAGTAGACAAAGGAACTCAAACCGAGCTCATCCAATACCTCCACTTGATAATCACTTTCTGCAGCATTCGTTGCAAACCGAAAACTAGATGAAACAAGAACCTAAAGCGTCACATACCGAGATCTTTGCTTGTTAAAAACATCAGAAATATTGCTGTATCATTCCCGGAGGCCAGAATAGCAGTAGTCTTTGTTTTCACAAAAATAATGATTTAGAGTATTCAATTTCTGATAACTTGACAACTAGATCTTTGTAACTAACCACAATTTACTGTAACGTTGATGTTAGTATCAGAAAATGAATAGTATTCCAAAAACCAGTGCCACTGTTTCTGCTGAAGCAAACTGAATAAATCCATTGACAGGAGTTCGTCAGCAGCATTTCGAGATTACTGAAGGTGATGTTTGGTACTATCAACTCCAGAGAAAAAAATATGTAAATCGCAACATAATCCAGAGAGATACCCGGAAACAGGGAGGTTTGTCTATTAGATGGAGCCCCCATCATGATATTTGTAAAATTAGCCCTTTTATCGCCCTAACAGTAGCTTAGAAATTGACAGCAGAGGTACTTGACAGTGTAGAAATCACTTTTGGGTTTCGACAGATAATTTTTATGATTTTAAGCAAGGCCTAACTCAACAAGAATATATAGTATAAGAAGAAGAATGTATAGATTCATTATAATGTATAGTCATTAGAATTGGAAGTTAATATTGAATAGCTTAGTTTAGTTAAGTTCTTCCTGAACAAGGAATATATGATTATCTGAGAGCTCATTTTTCAGCTTACTCACAAGGCAACGAAATATAATGTTAATTTCATGCTTTTGTAAACTCTGTATTCAAATTCAGATATGTTTGAAGTGGGATATTTGTCCCCCAAATGTTGATTCGATTAACTTGGAGCCAAGATTCGAAAAAGCAATAAATCACAATCTTTCTATTGAAGAATTATTCACTCCCGAGTTTCTTTGAGTATAGTGATATATTATAAGTACGAGTCATATACGTTATTATTTCTCTGTTTTGAAGTACTACTTTCAGGTTTTTTCCCAAATGTTCTCAAGACATGATTTTTTACTTACAAACAAAAGCAGTATACCATGTACTAGGACATCTAATGTAGCAAAAATTGAAAATCCTACCTTGTAGATTGTCAAGCATATATGTCAGCAGCTTCACAGTCCCATTGGGTTCTGAATAGATGGTTAAAATGTCCTTGTTCAAAGGATTTCCATTTAGAGAGAGAATCATCAAGTTGAAGAGTCTGCCCAGTTCATATGGTAATATTCTCAAACAGTTGTTTGCAAGATGTAGTTCCCTACAAAAAATCATAACTTGAGCAGAGTGTGTAAAATCAGGAATAGTCTCTATATGCAATGGTCATTTCAAATAATTTGATCCAATTTGATCCAATTCCAGAAAAGTTACGGAATTTTAGGCTGGAGTAGTGTAAAAAAAATATACATTCAAAAACTAGAAATTAAACAAAAAAAATTTGAATAAAAAGTTCCATTTTCAGATGATTTAAAAATAAGCTTTGCACGAACTGGTGATCAGTCATATGAGGAAACGCTAGTTGAAGTTTCAGAAAATCACATATGTTTTTGCTACCTCTTGAACATGTACTACAAAGTGAACAAGTGAGGATTTTTACAGGAAAAGATCTATAAACACAAGACAAGATAGACTCCAGGAAATCGGTTGGTGGGAAAGATGATACATTCTTACGGAAGTACAGCTGCATGAACAGGTGTTTCAGTTTGGTGAATGAGTAGGAAATATTCTCGTTCATCTTCCTCATGAACTACACTTGTAAAATGCTATTTGTGTACCAAGTGTTTGTCAAATTATCTAATTCAATTTTTTTCGCAAGATTTTCAGGACAATTGTCTAACGATATGTAAGAAAGAACATGTTCCACAGATTCTGCAACAAAATCATTTCTCATTCTCGATTAGTAATTTCTGATGATCTGAATAATCAAAATTGAACTATTTTAAAAATGTTCATACAAATTATAGAATACCTGTGTAAATTCTAGGTTTACAAATGTTTATAAATATCAATCAATAATTTGCTTCATTTGTTCAATTTACAAATACAAAACACAAATATAGAATAATTTTTTGTGATGATCTGAATAATCAAAATTGAACTATTTTAAAAATGTTCATACAAATTATAAAATACCTGTGTAAATTCTAGGTTTACAAATGTTTATCAATATCAATCAATAATTTGCTTCATTTGTTCAATTTACAAATACAAAACACAAATATAGAATAATTTTTTGGCCATATTTGAGCAAATGAGTAAATACATAGTACGATGAGGTTAATATAAAATACACAGGTTAATACATATACACATACCGCACACACAAATTTATAATATACAAGTTATAATATGAATAAAATATAAAATAAATTAAAATGGGGGCTTGTTGAATATAATTACTGTCCTTAAAAATTTTGAATTACCAATAAATTGCTGATTTTGCAACATGTCTCATTAAAAATGAATAATTTCAATTCTTTTTACAAATAATAGTTGACCAGAAGTGGATCCAATTTCTGGAGGAAGTGTATTGTACAGTTTAGGAGCAATATAAATTGAAGAATGTTCTGCTTGAATGGGTAGGGTGAAAATAATACTTCACAATTTACACAACAGTAATATTTAACAGCTGTTTCAAACACACTCTGTCATCTTCTGTGTATTTGAGCGAGTCTAAGTCATTTTCTGAACCAGTTATAAACTCGCTCAAAACACAAGTTTGTTGAAACTGCTGTTAGTATTAAATGTTGATGTTGTGTAGTATTATTTTCACCCTACCCATTCAATTAAAATGAATTTATACATATTAGAAACCGATACTGTAGAACAATGTTGATTTTAATTTTTGAGTTAATCTTGCAACAACTTCTCTTTGTAAGGTTCATATCTTAAGTTTATTTATAATAAGGTTTTGTAGACATCCATGAATAAACTTAAATTATATAAAAGTTGAAGAAAAGTTTATATTTTCACCAAATTCATTGAATGGGCAGAATTTTAGTATCATGTGGATCACTTCCCATTTTTCACCTCACCTTTTGGTATATAGACACAACTCAAAAGTACCCTCAATACATTATTTTGTTGTGTAAAAGTACAAATATAATTATTCAAATAATTATTACAAATGTATGAATAACAAAACTTTTTTCTTTGAATTTATTATCAGTGAAGTTCCCTGAAACATTAACAGATTAGAAGAAGTTTCTGACAGATGTCAGAAACGTTGGTCCATTTCTGGAAATTTCATTATAAGACTGTTTCTGACACAAATGATATTTAGTTTCTTGTTGAGTGAGTAAGCAATAATCCATAACAAGTACAAAATATGTTCTCAAACGTCAAAATCAATCGCTGAACTAACAGTGGAAATGAGCGTACCCTAACAGAAATTTATAATGTTGCTAAAAAATTGATATTTTTCAAAAATTTGTCACTTAACAAAATGAGAGTAATTGGAAACTCAAATATCTTCATGTCACACTGATTTGTAAGCAACTTCTTGAACTAGGTGATAGAACTCTGGACTTGAGTGCCAATGATCCTGATCCTGCCAACAAGTTATAACAAAAAAACTCTAGTAATGTTATAACATTATGCTCCAATCAAGGGTATATTGGCCCAATTAAAGTTTTATGTCCAATGAAAATACCAAAAATAGATCAACAAGTGTGTCAAGCATACGATAGTGAAAATATGGCATTTCAAGAGATTTTATTGCCATTTGCTTGTGTCAAACTTTCTCTTCACATTCGTGATCAGCATACAAAGGTTAGGTTTGGTCCAGAGTGAGTGAGCCTGTTTGACCCTCCACAGCACCTGTAGGGTTTATTGTGGCTCAAGAGTATGTAAGAAAGATTTACAAATTTCTCATGAGACCCTTTGTCTGGTTATTAATCAAAACTTTTCTCACACATGTCTTACATTTAACTCATAAGTGATTGGTGCCAGTAGGTTACTAATGGCACTTTCAAGCTGTCTCTCAGTATTTTTCCACTACCATATGAAAATAATAAAGATTGAAATGTATATTTCCCTTCCTTGTTCCCACTTGAATAGAATTGTAACATTTTTCATGTAGCTCAATTTTGAAAAAACTGAAAGAATAAACTATAAAAAATGAGTTTATACATGAGTCAACGCATAGCATATGAAGAGAATACCGATAAAAGTTTTTTGAGTTTGGAGAATCTGCAAAAAAACGATAGTATCATAGTTTCAAGTTTTCAATTCACTCTATTCTAATAAATATTTTGAATAAAAGCTAAAACTGGAACCTCAGGCGTAAAATAAAAGAATAAAAACAAAACAAGTACTTTCCCCAATTAAAAGAAAAGTAAAACACTTCGTGATGTGCCTTTCACCAAACTAGTTGGCACCTTCAGAAAATTCCATAATAGTAGGCACTAAATTCTCAGAAATATTATTGCATCAAAATGAAAACATTGTTGCCAGCTTGTGATCCCATATATTTTATTATCTGATGAAATATATAGAATCACAACAATGTTTTTGTTTAAATGCAATATTTCTGCCTACTATTATGGAATTTTAATATAGATACTTTCAAAACAGCCTTTTGTAATGGGATTCGTCATTTAAACAAACTGGTAGATGAGCAGAAATGGTTCCTTAGAATAGCCCACTGTAATGACGTCTCTAGATATTTTAGGGTATGATATCTGTTTAAAAAATCTGTTTAAAATCTGTTTTTCCGTTAACCAGGTCTTATCTTTTAACGTGTGATTCCTAACACTATACAACCACAATTTCAAAACACGTAGTTTGAAACAGAGTTACTTGCAACGAAATAACCCCAGAATTTTGTAGACTTATTTATTGTCAGAAAGTGAATGATGAATACTTCAGATATTTATTGCAATAAACTGGGGTGAGTTTTGAATACATTTTTTTTTAATTATTACATTTATTGTTTGCTTGCATATTATTGAAACAAATATGAAACTGCAAATTTTCCAGGAATGGCTGAACCGATTTCCAAAAGTGAGACAGTTTTGGACAGAGAATTGAATTGCCTATCAAACGAGGTATTACTAGACCCCTTTTTTATTTGAAAAGAAATAAGTTGAACGCCTTCTCGGTGATGAGTGACACAATACTACTATGTTTCTTATAAGAAAGTAGTTGAAAATTATTACCATTTACATAAATTTTGTTTGACCTTGATATCTTACACCCTTTTCACTAGTTGGAAGGGAGGGGCAATTAACGTTCACACTGCATAATTAATTACTTTGTTTACCATCAACACTCTTGCTTTTCTTTCTCCTTGTATAAAATTTATGATTTTGAAAATATCTGATAACTTTTATCGTTCTCACCTCAGATATATGAGTTCCCCTAGCTCTGCAGGCAGTGACCTAAGTTTATTATTACTTAAATCCAATTGTCTTAAATGTAGTAAACGACAAATGTCTGATGGCAATCTGCTAATTTGATTGTTTTTTATAATTAGGGATGTCAAATGGGCCATCTTGAATAAATTCGGACTTAAATTCCGAATAGTCCCTGTTATCTCCAACTCATTCCATGAGGACTTCTTTCCACTGGCTTGCTCTTCGGCAGACATGAGGGTATGGGACCGACGATTTCCACTATTATTTTCGTACTTATCCTTGCGTGGCATATTTCCTGAAAATAAAAATATTCCTCAGTCAGTATGAGATGTGTTGGATATATTTATTCACCAAAATACACATATGGTAAATCAAAACATACATACACAGGAGTGCATATTTTTACAATAGATAAAAAATACCGTTTATGACAACTGAGAATATTTACTAGTTATTTGCAAAAACATATCATATTGCATATCGATAAGTCACTCCAATACAATATAAATCTAAGCTGCACAAACAAATTTGAATGGGCTCCATTTATTATAATAAACATCTTCACTGCAAATTTGAATTTATGATAAGATATATTTTCAAATATCTTGTCATAGCACTGTAATATTTGCTGAGGTTAAAAAGTGAGTCATTTTGGAAAAAAAGGTTTAGGCTTTTTACTTCTCCATTTTTATACAAAAAATTTTCATATAAAAATAGTTGTTTCAAAAGCATTTTTTTCTTTCTTGCAATTCAATGTCTATATGAAAGTAGTTGTTTAAAGAGGGCTTTTTCTTCCAGTTTATATTTAAAAATAACTTCTCGGCATGATATACACATCTTCCTGAAGTGTTCATTTTGAAATTAATTTCTTAGAAAGTTTTTCATATTTTTTTGTATAAAGATGAAGTAGGGAGCCAAATTTTTTTTCTCAAAAACTAACCTCTCCTAAAAATATACTTGTGTTTTGATGTTTGACTCGTAATGTTCTTATTGCAGATCCTATTTCTATAGATTTCATAGGTGATATTTTGAATTAGTTAACGGAAAGTGAAATATAAATTTCAATACATGGAGTTGGACGAGAGAGGTTCGAGAAAGCAGGCAGGAGGTTTGCAAACGTAAATTAAATGGTTGCAGATATTACTCACAACAAAGCTAGAATTAGAAAATGATGTTTCTACAAAGACAGTAATTGAAAATTGGTAAAAATGTATACGACCCATACCCCAAATGTATCTCGATTCACATCATGTGATTTCTTTTGAATTATATATTTCTGTCTTATTTTTTGTGTAAAAATTTCAATTGCTAACACACAATTATGATAATTGTGTGTTAGCAAAATTTGCATAAAAAAAAATTACAGATGTTACCTTATATTCAATTTATTTTCCTTGAAGGCAAATTTACATTCGTAAAGGAATACAAGACTCCACAACATATTTTTACATTGAAAGAAAACAGGGTATGTGCATATTATACATCACAATTTGAGATTTGCAACACCGGTCAAATCATCAAACGCCACAGCTTCATGAACAAGAAACTCGTTAAGCGAGTAGTAGACTTTATTCAGGAAGAAAATTGTTTCGCAGCCAGTTTCAACAATAGTCAAATGCCCTTAGAGTTTCACCTAGGAATGATTGTATTAAGGTGAAACCATTCCGAATTATGTGTCATAGACAAAACACTGAAAAGTTCCAATAGTTTTTTGTTGGTTTTTATTTTTCCTTTCGATAGAAGTAGATAGAAGAAAGTGTGGACAATTGTCCAATTTGTGTTATCAGAAGCTAATGAGAAAGAAAAATACAGTGCAAACAAATCTCAGTTAATTGAAAAACTTTAAGGTACACTATTTCAGTTTTGTAGTATTGAAAGAATACTCGAAAAAAATGGTTATTGCAGAGATATCTATAAAATAATTTTTGGGATAAAAGATATCCAGTCTTAGTGCAAAATATCAGACAGATTATCAGTCTATGAAAAATTCTACACAAGCCAAGTCGAAAAAAATATATCCTCACATTTCAATGTGAAAACATATATAGCTAAATATAGTGGAGTGAACAATGATTGTGAGTTTTCATCACAAGAGTTGAAAAACATTCCTCAAACAGAATGTTCATTTGATGATAAAACAACAATCTCAGTTATGGAGATATTATTTTTTCTAGAAAATTTGGGTCACATACAATATATTTCAAACTAATTATGTTGAAAAAATAGTACAGTGAAAAATGTATTGAAGACGATGAATATAGAATAGACCCTATTTCACTTGAAAAAAGAGGAGGCGTATTGTTGGCTACAGTTGGTGTCGATTTCAACTTTTGATATGTGTTTAATAGGATAGCCAACCGTACACTACTGAATGCCCCATCTTTTGTCGATTGAAGTACAGTCTATTTGGCAGGGTGCTAGATGAATCATCAAAAGAAATTTAATAAGTCAAGTTTATTGCAAGTATTATTCTGTAAATGACCAAATGTTTATAGACCTTATTGATGTGTTCATTTGCTATCAGAAATGATTTTGAAGGATAACATTTAAAAAAGTATCCACAAGTGCAAATATTGTTAGGAAATAATATTTCAATGGAAAATAAGGGGCTGAGGTAGATTTCTGATAAATTTGATTCAATAATGATAAAACAATCTCCAGCTCCAGATAACTTGAAGAGGTGGCTGCAGATGCCGTAAGCTGGTGTTTACTGTACTGCAATATGCAGTACAATGCAATGCTGATAGTTTATGAATTCATTTTCTATTATGAAAATAGGCGAAATAGAAACATGATTCTGGTTGAAATGATAAAGACACTTTTGAAGTTATATAATAAGCAAAATAAATGAATAATAAGCAAAATAAATAAATAATATTCATCTTTTATATACCGATCAACAATTTGAACTTTACCAGTATAAAGATATAAATCTAAAACGGAAAGCAGAATTTTAGGATAGATTCGTTTTTGTATGTCTTCATGAAAAAAAATGTGGGAAAAGTTCCAAAGAAAGTAGTAAAGAAATTTAGTCAAAATGAACTCTTTACAAAGATATCCATATCAAATACAGAAGTATTCTTCAGATACAAACTGGAAGAAAAAAACTATTTGAAACAACTACTGTATTCGTTTATTTATTTAATTACAAAATTAAAAGAAAATATTTTTGAAGGAATCACTCCAAGTGATATTAACAAAATCCAAAAATAAATTGAAGCAATTAATGGTATTTACCTGATTATTCAGGATAGTCTGTTTGAGTTTAATACAAGTTGTTTTATAATAATTTATTCGAAGAAATTGGTTTCAGAGCTTTTCCTATCTTTGAGTCTAACACAAGATACCAAAACCTACACTCAACCATCCAGGCAGTATTCTGCCTTTGCCTTTTAGTGAAAAGTTCAAAGAACCCATTGGTCAAATTTGTTCCTCAATTGAAAATAATTTGAAATATTTCATTTTTTACCGATTTATTTTCCAGGATTTTTGAAAAATATTTTTGTTTTACATTGCACTAAAAATATATAATTTCAGAAATCTAAAAAAGAAGTCTTCAGGTGGAATAGCTTCTGAATCAGAGTTGATTAAATACTTGTTCATTATCCTAATATATTTTCGTATTAAGGTCAGAGTATGTTACTCACCCTCATCTACGTCCCAATTGTTTGAAAAAATAATACCGATATGTACAAACTACTGTTTTTTCCGATTTTCACTTTAAACAACACAACACTCGCGATAACAAAATGCCTAAACTCGGTAGGGCTGACAACTGACGTTTGACAGTAATGAGAGAAACAAAATATCTATGACTCTCTTCAAAATATGTGTTGCTTTTACAAACTGTATAATAGAAGGATTTGTTGAATTACTTATAAACATATAAATTTGATACCAATCAGTAGTAAAATTTAACTGCAATGAATCATTGTAATTGAATTTTAATTTATGCTTTCAGCTCTCAGTACTTATAGCTCCACCTAGAAGTTGAGCTTAGAAACACATTCTAGAACAGAGGCGTAGAAGGTTAATCTATTTATGGTCCATGATTCAAAATACCAACAAGTGTTTACCTATTAGAAATTGGCCAACACAAATTGTTAAAATACTTATTTCAGTCACAGTGTGCCTAATAGGTTTCCAGTCACAAGATATTCGAAAATATTTGTTTCCAAAAATAAGTAATGTGTTTTCGTCAACATGGATAAAATTTATTTGGAATTTGTGGTAATACAAGTAGGATGTCCTATAATAAAACTTTTTATATTCATTCAGTATGAATTTTTTCTTGAAAAAGATTTTACAAAGTCATAGTCATGATAGAAAATACTGAAATATAGAAATATTACACTATATTCAAGTATTCATCCACACATCACCAGAAGATGGTGAATGAGACTTTGCCGAAACGTCGTGAATGTGATCCATGTGAGGATCAAAAACACAGAACACGGAATGACATCCGGAATAACAACCCATCATACCCTTTCCGTGAGTTCGAGTTGAAGCGCGAGTTTTGTGTTCGACGTTTCGGCTCTAATTTTGGAGCCATTTTCAAGAAATTGATGTTATTTGACGCCGGGGCCTCAATCTGCCTACTCCCCAGTAGGAGTTATGTCTGCCTACACCTTTAGATCAATCTGTATGTAACCTGCTCTCAATTTTGAGGTAATAATAGAACAAATTTGAAAAAATCGTTGCCGGGCAGGGAGCCACTGGATAGGCAAGCAAAAAAATAACTTTGGTATAAGAAGTTGTCTAACTTGGGATGAGCCGTATACATTCGTCATCTGCTGTGCAAAAGCCGCCCTACAATGTTGCGAATGCAAATTCAGCGGAAGCGTTAACCATCCAGGAATAGACTATCCTCTTGAGGATCCTTCAGACATTGTCTAGCTTCAGAGGATGTATGTATGTATTGTACACTTTTTTTGACTAGATGTTATTCAGTAGTTCAAACAGAACACTTCAATTAATTTATTGATTATTGATAATTAAATCAAAACTGGATACATTTCAATAAACACGTCATATTCTCTTCAGAGTGGTTTGAGTGTACGAAATGAAAACGGTTGTGAAAACAAACACTTTGCGGCATCTATAGTGAATTACTTGAAGTATGATTAGGAGTTACTATTGTTATCTACTAATAGATGTCGAAACAAAAAGTTGTGCACCTTATTGATATTTCCATTACACGAATTTGTTGATTTTCAATAAAGAATGACTATCTGTTTATGAAATTAAATGAAACGTTCTTTCACAACTCACGAAAAAAATTATAATGAACGCACTTAATGCAAACATTTGATTTTTCTCACCATACATGATGAGTATGTTTGATGCATCCCTGTCTTTTGCATCTTTAGATTTCTTTGGTAGATGACCACAGCAGATTATACGAGGTACGTTAAAAAATAAGATGAATTTACATTTTTCTCAAAAAATATTTATTTATTCATCAATTTTTATTTCGTCCCCTTCAAAGTAGTCCCCCTCAGATATAATTAACTTGTGCAAGCGTTTTTTCCAATCCTCGAAGCAGATCTGAAATGCACTTTTTGGCATGTCATTGAGCTCTCTCAGCGATTAGGTTTTCACCTCCTCAATCGTCTCTTCAATCTTGGGTCACAGGGGCAAAATCTGGTGAATACGGTGGCTCAGACATGATTACGGTGTTGTTTTTGTACAAAAAATTACAAACAAGCAATGACGAGTGTGCAGGTGCATTATCGTGATGCAAAAGACATGCATTGTTTTCCCACAATACTGGATGTTTTCTTCGTATTGCTCTTCCTTTGGGACGATTGGACTTTGGTTTCGATGTCATAACCATATATCCACGATTCGTCACCAGTTATGACGCTTTTTGTACTTTTTTATCTATTTCTAAATAAAGGGCTTTTAGAGGTTCAGTTGTGTTTACTTACCTTCTTTGAACATGAGTCAATGTATACACATCAATATATAAATCAGGCACCGCTCTGAGAGCGCCTTAATGATTTTTCCGTAGTGCTTGTGTTTTGTTCTTAAAAAAAGATGGTCGATATTAGACCACCATCCCCTATACTAAACACATATCTAATTAAACTATGGGAGATAATTATGGTAATGGCAATTAAATGAAGACCGTCTTATTTACATAATAATGTACGTATTATGAACTTTATTCAAAATCAATCTATTTTGGTTAGTTGAACGCATAGATCTTGGTTAGTTTTTACCGAGCACCTGCTAGCTAGGCCATTCTTATTTACCGGGGCACATCCACAGATGGCGTTAGTGATATCGTGTTCACTTTGTTTTTCGAAAGAACTAAACTTCGAATGACAGTGGCAAGGCGTATGCTCCTTCTACGCCGACGATACGGCTCTCCTCTCATCTTCCATGGGTCGGGAGCTCGGTGTCGTCTACATGCAACGTGCATTGGACGCTGGTACCTCGAGTGGAAGATCCGAGTGAACCCGGAAAAGACTCAGGCGATAACCATGTGATGAACGAAATCTTCTCCGGCTGAGAATCTCTGGAAGGGAGATCGACTGGCAAGCGCAGGTAAAGTACCTCGGTCTTCTAATAGATCGTGGGCTCACCTGGAACCCGCACTTTATAAACGTGAAGGCAAAGATCGAGGGTCGGGTGGCAAGCCTGTACTCTCTGATAAACAGACAATCAAAGTTAAGCCTTAAAAAGGAAGTTACGATCTACAACAAGATGTTCAAGCCTGTCATCATGTATGCTTCAGGCGTCTGGGGACAAGCGGCTCCGTCCAACATCTCCATCTTAGTGACTTTACAAAACAAAATACTACGGATGATTGTGAATGCTCCGTGATTCGTGCGGAATGAAGCATCCGCAGAGATTTACAGCTGCCTTCCTTTCAGCAGTCCATCCAGTCGAGGAATCGGCGAGTTTAAGATTGTGCGGAAACTCACGATAACCCGTTAGTCGGGGAAACTATAGATTACGTGCAGGAAGGCGTATGCTATCAGGTGACAGGGTAAGGAAGCCAGGCTCCAACCTGATCTAAACCAAGACGACTTTCCACAGGTGTATGCTGATGATACACTTGTTTTGTATGAAATCATAGGAACTTTCACCTTATATTACTACTTTAACCATTCACGGCAAATAATTTCTCAGTAGCCTTATTACAGCCCTATGTGTGACAATAATTATAACCAAATAACCTTTCTGCACAAAGAAAGATTTCAATATGACACTGTACTCTCAACTCACACAAAATCTTCTTTTTTTAACATACCTATTTATCTCCATTTATTTTATGAAAAGTGTCACACTTGTCACACAACTGAATTTAGAACTCTTTTTTGTCGAATTTTTTTATCTAGCGAAAACCCTTGTCTACTGGCTTGCTACGAATTCGGAATGAATTGCATCATACCTCTGTAAAACAAAAATTGGAAGAGATAAGAAACCTCAAAGAGTCATCTCTGTTAAAACTTATCGAAAACTCTCTGAAATCAAATCGTACCTAGAATTCAATCCTTGTCAAACTATCAAACATACTGTTCAACCAACCACTGTCATTTTGACCAAACAAACAATTTAGAGTGTAATGCAGGATGTTAAAATTATTACCTCTATTATTTCAGAGCTTCATGCTAGTCATAAAAGAGTTGACACTTACACCAGCTTTGGGTTCAATGGATAACTTAGTTTGATACGCAATCAACTCTTTCCAAGTGTTCCATCACAATCACCAAAAAAATAAAAGTCATTGGTCTGTCTCCACGTTTCAGTAATCCCGCTTTCTATTGTATATCAATAACTTATTGGAAAAAACTAAGAATCCAATATATTGCTTTGCTGACGAGAGCGCACTTGTTTCATGATTCCATTTGGATTCCAGGATATCGGCGGTGAATGCACATCTTCACAGGCAGCAGGAGGTTGCATATCTTGATGGGGATCTAGAAATAATTTCGAATTGGGGTGGAAGCAACCAGGTTCAATTCAATCATGTCGCTAGAATTGCAAAAGCCACTTTTCAAAAGCTTGGAACACTGTTCCTAACCAGAAAACTGTACACACCTCAGCCTTTTGTTGCTTTATAAAGCTCAGATTAGACCTTCTTTGGAATATTGTTCCCATGTATGGAGCTCTGCCCCTAAGCATACCCTGAAACTGCTAAATTCCATCCAGAAAAGAGCCATCCGCCTGATTGGAGACGCGAACATCACCAGCAACCTTGATAGTCTGGAACATCGAAGAAAGGTTGGAGATTTGTCTTTCTTCTATAGATACTTTCACGGGAAGTGTTCAAGTATCTTGACACATTTAATTCCACCAAGAGCGGTAAAAGAAATCATTATAACCAATTTATTCAATTATCTGAAAATAAAAATAAAACCTCCTGGACAGTTATCAATAAATTGAAAAATAATTAGAAACCCATCCAATATAAAAATCTTCCATGAAAATAAAGAAATCTCCTGTCCTGATGACACCGCAAATCTGTTCAAAATTTTTTTCATAGGTGTTCCCAAACAGGTTATGTGGAGGTTATGTGGAGTTGTGGAATTGGCCGCGGTGGTAGTGCGCCCGACTCACGATCGGAAGACCGTGGGTTCGATTCCTGCCTCGACCAGATATTTTTCTCGAGAGAATTTATCTGGTTGAAGCTGGGATGATTCTGCAACCGTATTAGGAATCACACGTTAAAAGGTAAGACCTCGTTAGTCCTTAGCTCGCACAAGTTTCTCAACTTCTGAGAGTTGTCGTTCGTATAGGGGCGACAGCTGATTAACGAAAAAAAAGGTTTTTTAAAAACAGACAGAGGTTATATAGTAACAACTTCATAGCCTCAACAGACATCTTACTTCAATGGTCGTACTTCCTTTCACCGAGGAAGAAATGCTGAATATATTCTCTAAACTCAAAAATAAATGTTCGTATGGACCTGATGACTTACCTAACAATATAA